TGAACTGAATGATAATAGTGACACAACCTATCAAAACCTCTGTGATACAGCAAAAGTGGTCCTAAGAGGAAAGTTTATAGCATTAAATGCCTACATTAAAAGTCTGAAAGAGCACAAATAAGGTCACACCTCATGGAACTGGATAAACATGAATAATCTAAACCTAAACCCAGCAGAAGAAAATAAATAATGAAGATCAGAGCAGAACTAAATGAAATTGAAAAAAAATACAAAAGATAAATGAAACAAAAAGCTGGTTCTTTGAAAAGATAAATAAAATTGACAGGCCATTAACTAGATTAACCAAGAAAAGAAGAGAGAATATCCAAATAAGCTCAATTAGAAATGAAACAGGAGATGTTACAACTGATACCGCAGAAATACAAAAGATCATTCAAGGCTACTATGAACACTTTTATGTGCATAAAACATAAAACCTAGAGGAGATGGATACATTCCTGGAAATACACGAATCTCCTAGATTAAATCAGAAAGAGATTGAATCTATGAACAGACCAATAACAAGCAGCAAGATTGAAATGGTAACAAAAAAATTGCCAACAAAAAAGTCCAGGATTCACAGCGGAATTATATTAGACAGTCAAAAAAGAATTGGTATGAATCCTTTCGACACTATTCCAAAAGCTAGAGAAAGAGGGAATTCTCCCTCAATCCTTCTATTAAGCCAGTATCACTCTAATACCAAAACCAGGAAGGACATAACAAAAAAAAAAAGAAAACCACAGACCAATAACCCGGATGAACAAAGATGCAAAAACCCTCAATCAAATACTAGCAAACCGAATCCAATAGCATATCAAAAAAATAATCCACCAAGATCAAGTGGGTTTTATATTAGGGATGCAGGGATGGTTTAACATACATAAGTTAATAAATGTAATACACCACATAAACAGAATTAAAAGCAAAAATCACATGATCATGTCAATAGACACAGAAAAAGCATTTGACAAAATCTAGCATCCCCTTATGATTAAAATCGTCAGCAAAATCGGCATAGAAGGGACATACCTTAAGGTAAGAAAAGTAATCTGTGACAAACCCACAACCAACATCATACTGAATGGGTAAAAGTTGAAAGCATTTCCCTTGAGAACAAGACAAGATGCCCACTTTCACCACTTCTGTTCAACTTAGTACTGGAAGTCCTACCCAGAGCAATAAGACAAGAGAAAGAAAAAAAGGGAATCCAAATCAGTAAAGAGGAAGTCAAATTGTTGCTGTTTGCTGATGATGTGATCATATACCTAGAAAACTCTAAAGATTCCTCCAAAAAGCTCCTAGAACTGATCAATGAATTCAGCAAAAGTTAAGGATACAAAATTAATGTGTACAAACCAGTAGCTCTTCTATACACCGACAGCGATCAAGCTGAGAATCAAGTTAAGAACTCAACCCCTTTCACAATAGCAGCAAAAAAATTAAGTACTTAGGAATATACCTAACCAAGGAGTCGAAAGACCTCTACAAGGAAAACTGCAAAACACTGCTGCAAGAAATCATAGATGACACAAACAAACAAAAACACATCCCATGCTCATGGATGAGTAGAATCAATATTGTGAAAATTACCATAGAACCAAAAACAATCTTCAAATTAAATGCAACTCCCATCAAAATACCACCAACATTTTTCACAGAACTAGAAAAAAAATTCTAAAATTCATATGGAACCAAAAAAAAAAAAAGCCTGCATAGCTAAATCAAGACTAAGCAGAAAGAACAAATCTAGAGACATCATATTACCCAACTTCAAATTATACTATAAGGCCATAGTCAACCAAACAGCATGGCACTGGCATAAAAATAGGCACATAGACAAATCGAACAGAGTAGAGAACCCAGAAATAAAGCCAAATACTTATAGGCAACTGATCTTTCAAAAAGCAAACAAAAACATAAAGTGGGGAAAGGACACCCTATTCAACAAATGGTGCTGGGATAATTGGCAAGCCACATGTAGGAGAACAAATCTGGATCCTTGTCTCTCACCTTATACAAAAATCAGCTCAAGATGGATCAAAGACTTAAAGACCCAAAACCATAAAGATTCTAGAAGATAACACCAGAAAAACCCTTCTAGATATTGGCTTAGGCAAAGACTTCATGATTAAGAACCCAAAAGCAAATGCAACAAAAACAAAGATAAATACATAAGACTCAAACTAAAAAGCTTCTGCACAGCAACAGAAATAATCAGCAGAGTTTACAGACAACCCACAGAGTGGGAGAAAATCTCACAATCTGTACATTCGACAAAGGACTAATAACGAGAATCTACAAAGAACTCAAACAAATCAGCAAGAAAAAAACCAAACAAACCCATCAAAAAGTGGGTTAATAAAAAAGAATGAGTTCATGTCCTTTGCAGGGACATGGATGATGCTGGAAACCATCATTCTCAGCAAACTAACACAGGAACAGAAAACCAAACACCTCATGTTCTCACTCATAAGTGGGAATTGAACAATGAGAACACATGGACACAGGGAGAGACCTGTCGGGGGGTAGGGAGCTAGGGGAGGAATAGCATTAGGAGAAATACCTAATGTAGGTGACGGGTTGATGGGTGCAGCAAACCACCACGGCACGTGTATACCTGTGTAACAAACCTGCACGTTCTGCACATGTATCTCAGAACTTGAAGTATAATAATAATAAAAAAGTGGGCTAAGGACATGAATAGACAATTCTCAAAAGAAGATACACACATGGCCAACAAGCATATGGAAAAATGCTTAACGTCACTAATTATCAGGGAAATGTAGATCAAAACCACAATGCAATGTCACCTCACTCCTGCAAGAATGGCCATAATCAAAAAAACCACAAATGTTGGTATGGATGCAGAGAAAAGGGAACACTTTTCACTGCTGGTGGGAATGTAAACTAGTACAACTACTATGTGAAACAGTGTGGAGATTCCTTAAAAACTAAACGTAGACCTACTGTTTGATCCAGCAATCCTATTACTAGGTATCTATTCAGAGAAAAAGAAGTCATTATATGAAAAAGATACTTGCACATGCGTGTGTATGGCAGCACAATTTGCAAATGCAAAAATATGGAACCAGCCCAAATGCCCATCAATCAATGAGTGGATAAAGAAAATTATCCATATATATGTGTGTGTGTGTGTGTGTGTGTGTGTGTGTGTGTGTATACACCATGGAATACTACTGAGACATAAAAAGGAATGAAATAATGGCATTCACTGCAACCTGGATAAAAGTAGAGACTATTATTCTAAGTGAAGTAACTCAGAAATGGAAAAACCAAACAGTATCTGTTCTCACTCATATGTGGGAGCTGAGCTATGAGGATGCAAAGGCATAGGAATGATACATTGGACTTTGGGGAAAGGGTAGAGGGTGGCGAGGGATAAAAGACTACACCTTGGGTACAGTGTTCACTGCTCAGGTGATGGGTGCACCAAAATCTCAGAAATCACCACTAAAAAATGTGTTCATGTAGCCAAATGCCCCTGATTCCCAAAAACCTATTGAAATAAAAAACAAAATTGAAAAAAAAACAATCTGATTAAGAAATACAGGTGGTAAACAAGTACATAAAAAGATGTTCAACATCATATATTATTAGGGAATTGCAAGTTAAAACAAGGAGATACCACTGCACACCTATTAGAATGGCCAAAATCCAGAACACTGAAAACAGGCCGAGGCGGGTGGATCACGAGGTCAGGAGATCGAGACTATCCTGGCTAACATGGTGAAACCCCGTCTCTACTAAAAATACAAAAAACTAGCCGGGCGTGGTGGCGGGCGCCTGTAGTCTCAGCTACTTGGGAGGCTGAGGCGGGAGAATGGCGTGAACCCGGGAGGCGGAGCTTGCAGTGAGCCGAGATCACGCCACTGCACTCCAGCCTGGGAGCACAGCGAGACTCCGTCTCAAAAAAAAAAAAAAAAAAAAAAAAACCCTGAAAACACCCAATGCCAGTGAGGATGTGGAGCAACAGGAACTCTCATTCAGTGCTGGTAGAAATGTAAAATGGTTCAACTACTTTGAAAGATAGTTTGGCAGTTTCTTAAATGCTAAACCTACTCTTACATATCATCCGAATCCCCTGGTATTTGTCCAAAGGGGTTAAAAACGTAAGTCCACAAGAAATCTGCACATAGATATTTATAGCAACTTTATTTATAATTGCCAAAATCTGGAAGCAACCAAAATGTCCTGCAGGAAGTGAATGGATAAATAAACTGAAGTACATCCAGACAATGGAGTATTATTTAGTGCTGAAAAGAAATGAGCTATCAAACCCTGGAAAGACAAGGAGGAAATTTAAATGCATATTACTAAGTGAAGGAAGCCAATCTGAAAAAACTACGTACCATATACTACACACTATATAATTTTAACCATGTAACTTTCTAGAAAGGTAAAGCTATGGAGACCATTAAAAGATTAATGGTTGTCAGGAGTTAGGGAAGACTAAATAGGCACAACGCAGAGGAATTTTAGGATAGCAAAACTACTCTATGCAATACTATAATGGTGGGTACATGGCATTATATATCTAGACTTGCAGAATGTAAAGTACAAAGACTGGACACTAATGTAAACTATGGACTTTGGGTGATGATGATGTGTCAGTGTAGGTTCAGCAATTGCAACAAATGTACCATTCTGGTGGGAGACGTTGACGATGGAGGAGGCTATGCATGTGTGGAGACAGGGAGTATATAGGAAACCTCTGTACCTTCCATTCAATTTTGCTGTGAGCCTAAAACTACACTAAAAAATAATGCCTATTTACTTAAGGCACTTAATTGTAAAATTAAAGTCACTTGTGTCTGTAAACTTTTTTTAAATGAAACACTAGGGAAAAGTTTTATGCTGAAATCTTTTGGATTGATTTAAGTTATACTAAAGGCCCTGTTCATGAATGCTGACTTGTCAAATAAAAAACAATTATTCTTCTTAAATATTTATTTTTCTTTTCACCTTAATTTCCATAGGATGGATTTATTGACTTTTTGGAGTTTATTGCTGCTGTAAATCTAATCGTGCAAGAAAAAATGGAGCAAAAATTAAAATGGTATTTTAAGCTGTATGATGTTGATGGAAATGGTTCTATTGACAGAAATGAACTACTGGACATGTTCGTGGTAAGTGAAGCAGTAAAGTATCCTTTTCAGGCCACTATACAGTTAACCCAATTTCCCTTCCTATGGAGTAGGTAACAGCTGTCTATGGGGTTGGCTGTGTTTGGGATATACATATTGAATTGCTGAAGTAATGTAAGCTTTACTTAACCTATTGATTGCTGAATGGGCAACAGCAGCAAATCAGCTTTTCCTTCTTGGTGCAATCCACCCTGGCATTCACAAATTTAACAGAGCATTGCAATGAAAAAAATGAAACAGATATGATAGTGTAAAACAACTTATCTTTTTCTCTGCCTCAGTGCAGAATGCCTCGTGAGGAATAGCTAAACTATGAGATGGTTTATATATGTTTAACAAGAGACATGGACTAAAAATGAAGGTATGTGAGGACTGATCTTTCTGGGAGCTATACTGAAGTATTTCTAATAGTTGGTTCAGGGATCTCAGATCTTTTCCATATCTAAAGTTCAATAAGTGCCTTTCTAAGCCCCTATACCATCACCCCAGTGGAGTAGGAGACAGTTATTATCATGGTATGAAACAGTAAAGAGCCCAGAATAAAAACTGGTTAAGTGGGACACTATACCTAAATGAAGATAAGAGGTAAAATTAATATTATGAATCCAAGACATTGAATTTGTAACACAGACTCAAAGAGCATTAGAATTAGATGTCTTAGAAATGATCTGGTCCAAATTCTTTGTTTCATAGATGAAGGAGCTGAGTTACAAATAAAATACATAGTAGAAATATTAGCAAAAATGCCAGAAAAATAAGTGAGTAGAACTACATTTATAATTAAACTTCTCAACAAATGTTCAAAGCAGATAAAAATGGAAAGCTAAATAAGCGAATATAGAGTTAAACAACATATGGAAAGAGTTCAAGGGTAGGATAATACCAATATTGCTAATATTTTAATTTCACATAGATCATTCACACAAAAAATGTGCTAGGATTCACTTGGCAAGTGAACAGTTTAGAAATTCTGCCTATACCTTATAGACTGCAACACAAAATTAGAAATCAAATATTCTACGGAGAATACCCAACCCACGTAAATTTTAAAATGTTCTTTTAAATACTCAGCTTCTTCTAAAAACAATGAAAATGTAAATACAGCATACAGATCTTAGGATGCCACCAAAGCATTTCTTGAAACAAGGGTTTTAGTCTGGGATCTAAGAATCAATGGCCTTCAGGAGTCATTTTAGCCCTTAAACTTAAGGACAAAATTTTGCCTGTATGTTATGCTTTTTTTGGGTGAAGGAGAGAGTCATCAGATTCTGAAAAGAATTAGGAACAACAAGGATAAACGTGATTTTGTCTATAACTTACGGGGAAATGTGCTGTAGATTTTTATTAGTTAAAATGTATAACTTCAGTTAGTGAGCCAAGGAAAGAGAAGTAGTAAGTCGCAAATTGAATTTTCCCTCAAAGTGCTTAGAAAGGAAAAAAAAGAACATAGGAAAATTGAAATAATAGAAGCACAGAACAGAAATTTAATAATTAGATACCATTTGTCTCTATATTAATCAGTACTAAAAACAATAATAGCAAATTCTGGTAAAAGCGTGGTAAGGAAGGCATCTTACACACTGTGGAGAGAGTGTAAGTGGATAAAACGTTCCGGGAAATGTGGTAACCTGCGTCGAAAGGCTGAAAGCTGATCTTCATTTTAGAGTTAGCATTACTTATTTTGAGTTAGGAAAAACAATTATTAGAGATGAAAGTTCTATGATTTACATCACAGAATCTCTTAAGATAGCAAAAAATTCTAAAAAACTAAAAGAGGAAAATGTTTAAATAAATTAATGCAATGGAATATATACTTATTAAGAAATTGGTAGCCTAGGAACATACTTTCTATACAACAGGCAAGTGAAAAAAATCAGCAAGGTAAATAAAAAGTGTACAATCTAAGTTCTCTCTACATACAATACAGATGCTAAAATGGAATTCAGCCCAGGCATTAAGAGATTGCAAGGAAGTACCAGAGCATAGGCAGTAGCTACAAAGGAGATAGCTACAGCTTAATCTCACTTCAAGGGTATAAAACAGTCCAGAGAAAGGTTTTTAAGGATTTTTGAGGAAAATTTATTTAGTAGGACCCCCCCAGGTCAATAACACGAGTATGTTAGGAAACCATTGAACTGTGGTTGTATCCTGCATTTTGAGGATCACAACAGTGAGTGTTTGAGTCATGAGTGAGAAGCCTAAAGAAGCAAACAGCAGCAGCAAGACTGCACACTTTGGAAGTATCTGCCTGCATAGAATTTGTTGGGACAAAGTATGCTAGGGTGTTTTCCATAGATCAGGTATGGAACACTGTGAGAGGAAGCTGGCATAGATCTGTGTTAGATCTTATCCTTCAGGGCCACTGGAAGATGTGAAGAAAACTCAAAGCTGCAGGTAGACCTAGAGCACTTGTTCTCAACCAGGAGAATCTCTATTCAGGGGACATTGCACATTGTCTGGAGACATTTTGGTGAGTTGGAGAATACAGAATGCGTAGAGCTGTTGCCATCTATTGCTTAGAGACCAGGGAGGCTGCTAAGTATTCAACAATGCACAGGACAGGCCTGAACAAGAAATAATTGCCTAGTCTAAAAATGGCAATTGTGCAGATTTTAAGAAATTCTTTTTTTCTTTCTTTCTTTTTTTTTTTTTTTAAGACGGAGTCTCTCTCTGTTCCCCAGGCTGGAGTGCAATGGCATTATCTCGGCTCACTGCAATCTCCACTTCCTGGGTTCAAGCAATTCTCCTGCCTCAGTCTCCTGAGTAGCTGGGATTACAGGCGCCCGCCACCATGCCTGGCTAGTTTTTGTATTTTTAGTAGAGATGGGGTTTCACTATATTGGCCAGGCTGGTCTATGAACTCCTGACTTCGTGATCCGCCCACCTCAGCCTCCCAAAGTATTGGGATTACAGGCATGAGCCACCGCACCTGGCTGCAGATTTTAAGAAATTCTAAGCAGGAAAGGGACCAGCTGGAATCAAGATGCATGATTCATGCCTACAGAATTGCAGGAGAGAGCGTCTACACCTGCCAGGCCAGGGAGCACTGAAATTAGCTAACCAGGACAGTACTTGCCAGTGAGAACTCTCTTACTTCCCTTTCTCTCCTGTGTCCTCCTGCTCCCACACAGGGAGTGCTCAGATACTGCCGTTAGGAAACTGGGGAAGGAAGAATGAATGTAGTAAATGAGGAAGGAAAGAAGAAGAAAAAAAAGCTTCTTTCCTATCCCCTGATCCTGCTGCTTCTAATAAAAAAGGAAGGAAAACAGAGCAAGCTGACGATTCCCTCCAAAAATATCCCCTCAGTGCTCCTCCACTTTCCATATTTCACTTGCACTTGTATGACCTGAAGATTGGTGATGAACAAATCAAGATCTCACAATTTTTTGCTATGACTCTTTATGTGGTCTAATATCACTTCAGAACGTGGGGATACTTGATACCTGGCCAAATTTTCTAGGCTTTTGAAGCCTCTGACCAAACACTGAGAAATCCTTAAAATTTTCTTCAAATGTGATGCTATATGTATGTAGCAATTACTTTAAATATTGTCCTATATTTAATCATGAGATCCATGAGACCTAAACTTGCTAAAGCCAAGACTGGTTTTTTACCACCATTTATTATGATGAATCCTGGACTTAACATTGGTAATGCTTGGGAAGCAGCAAGAGAGAGAGAGCCATATTTATGATTGTGTCCTCTAATTGAAATACATTGCTAGAAGTTTTTCTAAAGATTTCTTCATGTTCAATCAAGAGAGTTATGTTCAAATTCCCAAATGAATAATCCTCTTTCATTTTATTAGGAAGTTCTATATCAAGTCTGGGTCATTTAATTTAATCACCTTGGGGTTAGGGGAGGTTAGCTATGTCTTTCCTCTAGGAAGGCTGGAAATGTCATTTGCCCGCTGGTCTCTGGCAGAATGTGGGAGAAATTCAGCGGCCTTCGAAGCCGTATATATCTGTCTCCCCAGTCAATCATTCTACAAAAAGGCACAAAGAACCAGGGGTGCCAGCGGTGGAAGCCGCAGAGGAAGCTTGAGACTCTTACAGCGTTGTGGTCATCCTTTTGCTTTCATCCATAAGACCCAAATGAACCTGTCTGAAACTGAGAGCGATGTCTGTTTTCTGGGTCTGGAATTCTTATGACCATGACCACTACAATATTTTCTCCAATGGGCTCATTGCATCTGTTGTGATCTAATATGTTGAATGGATCCCTTTATACTGTATAAAATAGGATTTCAGTCTTTATTTAGTTCATTTAATTTCCAAGTCTCATTACACAGAACTGACATACAATCTTTTCTTTTTATTTACTTTTAACAACTGGTACAGGTTGGATAGCAGCTGACATTAACACATCCCCAAATTCTGTCACATTGGAGCAGAAATGTTGCAAAATGTATTTGCTTCCAGAAAAGTTGACCTCTTTGATTTAATATCTTTTTGCAGGCGGTACAAGCCCTCAACGGCCAGCAAACCCTGAGTCCTGAAGAATTCACCAACTTGGTGTTCCGTAAGATCGATATAAATAATGATGGTAATGGAGCTACTCTCTTCCGGATCACTTTTCTTACAAAGTAGGAGATGGTGGTAGTGGGGAGTGTCATTTAGACAAAAGCAGGAACCATGCAAGAGAACCCTAGTTGTGACTTGGGCTTCATAACTGGACCAATCCAATGTGCTCAGTATGATTCAACTGAGTAAATATTTATTGACCATATTTATTTCCAATGTGTGATGCTTGACACGTTGGCATATGTAAAGAGTAAAGGTGAGACGAGGAAATAAATCGGAAGAATATAGGATGAAGTACCTTCTGCTGTTTGCTCTGAGACACGTTCTATTAATCAGTTCCTCTCCACTGGAGGTTTTCCATCAGCATATAAATAAACTCAAGTTTTCCCTACTGTGGAAAACTTTCCTTCAATTATTCTATCTTCTTCTACTGTCAGACTTTTTTCTTCCTTTGGACTAAACATTTCTGGAGAAGAGTCCACACTTGCCTCCATTTCTGCTTTTTCTACCTTTTCTATCTACATTTCTGCTCTTTCTGATTATTTCTCCATCTGCTCTTTCTACTCTGTAATCTGGGTTCCTGTTTAGCTCAGAGGAGGTGCCTTTCTTCTTCAAAGGTAGGAGTGAAGAGGGAAGACACAGACAGCCCAAGAGAAATGAGTGCTTCTACCATATGGCTTTGATGTCAGCAAACAGGTAGGTGAACATAATGACTTGAGATTGAGGCAGAAGATCTAGGAACAGTCCTTGAAAAACAGAAAATTTGACATTGTTAAAAATATAAGATATCAGTAAAACGTTTAAAAAAAATGGAAAAGAGGCATTGGCATGCCAGTCACAGTTGTCATCATTCCAAAACTCCTTCCAAAGCCATCGACCTGCCAACCATGCGTCACTTCTTCTGGTGGACACGAGAGGGCAGTAGAGATGCATGATCCCATGTTGAGCGTGGCAGGTTGTTCTAGTAAAATGTGGCAGCTCAGCGTGGCAGGATGGGATGCTGAGGCCAGGAGGAAGCTCAAATGCAGCCACTGCTGCGAACAAGCCAAATGACAGGACAAGAGTATACTGCTCAAGAAAACAATTTGAAGATGCATCAGTTGCATCAATCTTCTCTTAAGGACCTCGGTCTAGATCTGCCTCTCCCGAATCTCAATTCAGTATGCTCACTTACTAGTATGCGACATCAAATAATGAAACATGCCAGTACATGTGAAAGCTTGTAAGAAACAGAGTCAGACTACCCAGAGTAGATAAGGTGGCTAAGTGCAGCTAGGAAAGGACCAGAGAAATGGAGAGTGGAGGGTCTGGTGAGGACAATGAAGACTTTATTTGGAATATGCAACTGAAAATGGTGGTCATCAAACTGGAGAAATGCTGTAGATTTCATTCTGTTTCACTTTGTTTTTAATCTTAGAGGTGCTGCAGGATGGCAGGGATTGGAGTAGAGTAAATAATCCATTTCAGCCGGGGGCTGAAAGCACTGATGTAGAAGAATGAGTACTCTGGAAGTAGATGGGACATCACAGTTTTAAGACTTGGTTTAGACAGTGACTTTCAAAAGGGCAGGTCAAGAATGTTTGATAATATCCATGAATACTGCTTCTAGTGCTAGGAGTGAGGGGAATAGGAAAGTGACCTTCCTCGGGAGAAGTACGAAGATTTTGGTATTCTTAGGAAAAAACTAAGATTCTATTAGTTTGAGGACACAGATAATGTATTCCAGAAAATGTGAATATAATTCAAGACTTTTTGTTTACTATCCAAGAAGATTCCCCAAGGGCAAAGTACAATGAATCAATAAAATGGGGACTGTGATTAGAAAGGAACTTGAAATAGAAAGGGCTGGTTTAAAAGAGATGTGAATTCAGAAAAGAGAAATTGTGCCTGGGCAATAGCTGAGGTCACCTGAAGTTAGAGAGATGGGCTCTTTGACCTACAAGAATAAGTCAATGACAGGAAAAAGGGGATGAATTATGGTTTCTAGAATAGTTTATAAAACTAAATACACTAATTGTTTCCTCTCATAAAAATTATTATTATTATTATTGTTAGGATAATAATATTATCCTAAAATAATATCCTAGCTCTGTCACCCAGGCTGGAGTGCAGTGGTGTGATCTCAGCTCACTGGAACCTTGGCCTCTTGGGTTCAAGCGATTCTTCTGCCTCAGCCTCCTACAAGTAGCTGGGACTATAGGCCCCTGCCACCATGCCCAGCTAATTTTTGTACTTTCAGTAGGGACAGGGTTTCACCATATTGGCCAGGCTGATCTCGAACTCCTGACCTTGTGATCCACCCACCTCAGCCTCCCAAAGTGCTGGGATTACAGGTGTGAGCCACCATGCCCAGCCCCAAAAACTTGTATTTTAATTAAAAAAATTATACACACATCCACATCCATATACACTTCGGAGTAACTATGAGTCACTATTTCTTAGCAAATGCATATACAGAACTAAAACTGATAGAACTTGCTTTTGTATAAAAAATTATTGACAGCTGTTACATCGTTTCATCAAGAGACAGCTGGATCATTCCATACATCAAGAAAAAGATGCTAACAAATGTGCTGGTGGACAGAGACAGCCCAGTGTAACCAAAGACAAGGAAGAAAAAGTAATGAAGATATAAAAGATTGATATTTGCCGAAGTACAAAAGGATTTGGCCAGTATTTGACGGAGAATAATAATATGAAGTGCTTCATTTACAAATAAAGGGGGAGTTAGCACCACAGAGGAGAATGTCTATCCGCATTTGTAAAAGCTCAACTCTGTATACCTCAAATATAGTTTTTTATTGTTCATTATCATTTTTATCAAAACATCAGTATTGATAGAAATAGAGATGCTCAATTAAGTATACCAAAATGCTGTTGACTATACGCTGACATATATATGTATATATATTTTTTATTTCTCAAAATAAAAAACAAGCACATCACTGTGCTGATAATCTTATGAATATTGAAACCAAAAGTAAAGATGATAACAGCCCACAAATATACAACAAAAAGACTTTAGGTACATATACGAAAATTCCAATTTGATTGTAAATTGTTTGCAAAAGAATGGTCAACATCACATCTGTTGTGACAGAAAAATACACAACTTTTGTGAAGTATTCTAAGCATAATTCTTATAATAGTAAATCAAAGTTAGAAGGTTAAGCAAAATAAAGGTACAGGATTAATGCTAGATTTATAACAAGATGAAGAGCTATGAGGTCCATGAAAGCAAGAACCATTTCCGTTTTGTGTACTTTGATATTTCCTATGCTGGCACACAGTAGGTGCTCTATAAGTAACCATGAAATGAAAGAGCGTCTGCTAAGAAGATGTCATATAAGGAATAAAGAAAAGATTCAATCAAGAAACAAGCACAATATGCAATTCTATCTATAGGAAGAAAGGTATCTAGAATTTTTTTTTTTTTTTGAAATTAACAAATATATGCATATATGTTAAAAACTTCATAAAATATAAACCTTGACAGTTAGCAGGAGTTAATTACCTATGGGAAGTCAGACCAGGTGCCAGAAAGAGGTTAAAGGGGAATTTTTTTCTTTTCATTACATTTCTGTATTGTTCAATTTTTTTAATCATAAGGACATATTATTGTTATAATTTAACAAATTAGTTTTATTTTTATATTACAAACAAAAGCATCAGGAAAGAGCTTGAAGAGACAGAGGCAGAAAATTGAAGCTAAACATTCAATATTATTGAAAAATGAAAACAGAGGAGACAAGACAAGTCAGGCAAAATGATTAAGTGTGGAATTCTGCAGGCTTTACCACCAGAAGAACAGCAATCCATGTTCCACCATGCTCTGGTTAGGCATCATTCTTGACATGATTTAGGGAGATTTATGGATATTCACAACATCAAGTGCAGAAAGTGCTTCAGTAAGTTTCACATAGAGCCAAATAAGGCACAGGGATAAGGGAGACTTAAGTGGCTCGTAATAACAAATGGTGAAGGTGAAAAGTGGCCAAAGAGGAAATGAAAAGGGTGATGATGATGATGATGATGATGATTATTATTATTATTATTATTATTAAGACAGAGTCTCTCTCTGTCACCAGGCTGGAGTGCAGTGGAACCACTCGGCTCACTGAAACCTCCGCCTCCTGGGTTCAAGTGATTCTCCCGCTTCAGCCTCCCCAGTAGCTGGGATTACAGGCACCCGCCACCATGCCTGGCTAATTTTTGTATTTTTAGTAGAGACGGGGTTTCGCCATGTTGGTCAGGCTGGTGTCAGTCTCCTGACCTCAGGCGATCCTCCCACCTCGGTCCCCTAAACTGCAGGGATTACAGGCATGAGCCTCCGTGCCTGGCCAAGAAAGGTGATTAGTGAGCAGATATCTTGGGTAAAAAAAAAAACAAGGGCAGGACATAAAGAAATTTTATTGATTAACTAAAAAGAAAGACCAGTGCTTTAGACTAGAACTTTGTGAAAAGCCATGAGGGTCACATTGAATCAAACTGGGAAACTGAGAATTACCAGGAGATAAGAGGGAATTGAGTTTCCACGTAAAGGAAAAGAAACTACTGCATGCAAAAGCTCTCCTGTAAAATGTCGCTAAATGCTTCTAGTGCCACCGTGCTAATAAACACAATATTGTGTCATTCAAAATCTTCACCAGCATCCTCCCTTGAAAATTGGGTTACTCTTATCTCCCAAATCTTTCCCACCCTATCTTTGCTAAGGTTCCAGCCCCAGCTCAATGTTTTATGAAGTTATAATGAAAAGAAATTAAAATTTTAAAAAATCCTCTACACAGGCTGATTTCTTTTAAAATCAGGATGACTTCTTCTTCTTCTTCTTCTTTTTTTTTATTTTTTTTTTTTTTGAGACGGAGTCTCGCTCTGTAGCCCGGGCTGGAGTGCAGTGGCCGGATCTCAGCTCACTGCAAGCTCCGCCTCCCGGGTTTACGCCATTCTCCGGCCTCAGCCTCCCGAGTAGCTGGGACTACAGGCGCCCGCCACCTCGCCCGGCTAGTTTTTTGTATTTTTTAGTAGAGACGGGGTTTCACGGTGTTCGCCAGGATGGTCTCGATCTCCTGACCTCGTGATCCGCCCGTCTCGGCCTCCCAAAGTGCTGGGATTACAGGCTTGAGCCACCGCGCCCGGCCTCTTCCTTTTTTTTAAATTATACTTTAAGTTCTAGGGTACATGTGCACAACGTGCAGGTTTGTTACACATGTATACATGTGCCATGTTGGTGTGCTACACCGGTTAACTCGTCATTTCCATTAGGTATATCTCCTAATGCTATCGCTCCCCTCTTCCCCCATCCCATTACAGGCCCTGATGCCTGATGTTACCCGCACTGTGTCCAAGTATTCTCATAGTTCAATTCCCACCTATGGATGAGAACATGCGGTGTTTGGTATTCTGTCCTTGCTCAGAATGACGGTTTCCAGCTTCATCCGTGTCCCTACAAAGTACATGAACTCATCCTTTTTTTACGGCTGCATAGTATTCCATTATGTATATGTGCCACATTTTCTTAATCCGGTCTATCATTGATGGACATTTGGTTTGGTTCCAAGTCTTTGCTATTGTGAATAGTGCCTCAATAAACATACATGTGCGTGTGTCTTTATAGCAGCATGATTTATAATCCTTTGGGTATATACCCAGGAATGGGATAGCTGGGTCAAATGGTATTTCTGGTTCTAGATCCTTGAGGAATTGCCACACTGTCTTCCACAATGGTTGACCTAGTTTATAGTCCCACCAATAGTGTAAAAGTGTTCCTATTTCTCCACATCCTCTCCAGCACCTGTTGTTTCCTGACTTTTAATGATCGCCATTCTAATTGGTGTGAGATGGTATCTCATTGTAGTTTTGATTTGCATTTCTCTGATAGCCAGTGATGATGAGCATTTTTTCATGTGTCTGTTGGCTGCATAAATGTCTTCTTTTGAGAAGTGTCTGTTCATATCCTTTGCCCACTTTTTGTTGGGGTTGTTTGATTATTTCTTGTAAATTTGTTTAAGTTCTTTGTAGATTCTGGATATTGGCCCTTTGTCAGATGGGTAGATTGTAAAAATTTTCTCCCATTCTTGCCTGTTCACTCTGATGGTAGTTTCTTTTGCTGTGCAGAAGCTCTTTAGTTTAATTAGATCCCATTTGTCAATTTTGGCTTTTGTTGCCATTGCTTTTGGTGTTTTAGTCATGAAGTCCTTGCCCATGCCTATGGCCTGAATGGTATTGCCTAGGTTTTCTTCTAGGGTTTTTATGGTTTAGGTCTAACATTTAAGTCTTTAATCCATCTTGACCTAATTTTTGTATAAGATGTAGGGAAGGGATCCAGTTTAGACCAGAAATACTAATGTAGGCATGCACAGTAAATTCTGCTTTTTTTTTTGGTGGGGGTTTGGGGGGTGAAGGAGAATTTTTCTTTATAAAAGATTAAGATGTAAATGGGAAGAAATGCATGATTTAGGAATATCAGTAGGATAATTGGATTGCAAAAACAAGACTAAGTAAAATATTCCTGGGTAGCTATTCTATTACTAATGAAACTCCTGAAATTGGTAGTGAGTGATGAAAGAGCTTCAGGGGCCCCAGACATACAGAGTACACCCACCAATACAACAAACAGCACTAAACAACGTAGATTCCAAGTACATATATTTCAACTTATAAAAATAAAATCATGAGGTTTCCGAATAATGTCCTACAAACATTGAAATATGTTGGATGGGCGTGGTGGCTCATGCCTTTAATCCCAGCACTTTGGGAGGGCAAGGTAGGCGGATCACGAGGTCAGGAGATCGAGACCATTCTGGGTAACACGGTGAAACCCCGTCTCTACTAAAAATACAAACAATTAGCAGGGCGTGGTGGCGGCGCCTGTAGTCCCAGCTACTGGGGAGGCTGAGGCAGGAGAATGGTGTGAACCTGGGAGGCAGAGCTTGCAGTGAGCTGAGATCGCGCCACTGCACTCCAGCCTGGGCAACAGGGGGAGACTCAAAATTGAAATGTGTCTGTATATATAAAACAAAGTAATAAAAACTTAGTGATGACTTTAGATTCCTTCTAAGTCCCATGATCTCCCTGCACTATCATCTCTTACAGGCATTGGCTTTTTGCTGGTAGAATCTTTATCTTTTTTTTTTTTTTTTGAGATGGAGTCTCACTCTGTCGCCCAGGCTGGAGTGCAATGGCCTGATGTTGGCTCACTGCAACCTTCGCCTCCCGAGTAGCTGGAACTACAGGCGCCCACCACCACTCTCGGCTAATTTTTTTATTTTTAATAGAGATGGGGTTCCGTATGTTGGCCTGACTGGTCTGGAACTCCTGACCTTGTGATCCGCCCGCCTTGGCCTCCCAAAGTGCTGGGATTATAGGCGTGAGCCACTGTGCCCGGCCTTGCTGGTAGATTCTTTAGTGGGAAGCTTCTGGACCTCCACAGGTGACTCTTTCCAGGGAAATACAGAAAGCATTCTTTTAATTTGTTGGGGCCTAAATCCACAGTCACATTAAAGCAGAATAGGAAGTAATGTTAAAGAACATGAGATAAAGGGAGGCAATTAGTCAGTGTGTGCCTTCTGAGCTCCTACCACATTCATAGCACTGTAGTCAGCTATAGTGGTGGTAGCTGTGTGGTAATAGAAATGGTAATTGTGGTTAGGGCTTAATAAATGTGATGAATAAATGAATGAATGAATGTTGACTGCTAGAGGGAAACAGTGAAGAAAATTTCAAAAGAAGTAGTTTAGATATAGTAAACATGTTACTAAAGGTAGAGTTTGATGATTTGCAACAGAGATTTTTTTTTTATGGTAAGTGGTTAGGTAACATGAAAAAGTTAATATGCAGAGTTCACAAGTGTTTTGAAGAAAGTGGAAAAGCAGCAGTGGATACTTCCATGTTTTCTCTCTTTTCCATGTCAGTAACCTGCATTGCTTTTCAACTGAGACCACTACTATATCCCGGTTCTTTCAGATGCTGCCTCTTCTGTAGCCAGTAGTTAGAGCAGAGAAGTTTTATAACTAAACAGTCAAAACTGTCTCCAGCTCCACTTCCACTTCTCTCTTGGTCATACTGAGCCCTGATACATTTGAAAAGTCTTTGGGGTTGGGAATTTACCAGCTGTGATTTTCTTTTGCAAAGGGCAGTTATTCTGTGATTGTTTGAGGTTCCCTGCCCGGTTGCCACTGACCCATGGGACTCTCCCCAGCCACGCACGTACCACTTTTTAAAATTTGCAATCTTCTCTACTCCCTATGGTTTCTTCCACGATTGGACCTTTTCTGTGACACACATGGGGCCCTACTCCTGACTGCTGTCAACTGAGGTTTTTCACAGACCTTTCTTTGGCATAAGCATAACATAAGGAACACAGATTAGATTTTTCTCTTAAAAAATACATTTTGGCATTTTGCTTTGAAACCAAAAGGGAGGTGTCTTACGAATATATGATGATTCATGCTTTTTGACATTTGAATCAATGTTGCGGTATTTTAGATATTTGTCTTCTCCATTAAAAAGTATAGGTACAGCATAACACCTGACTCAGTCCCTGCTGACTTCCTTCCTTGAATGCACTTTCTCCAGTTCTTGAATGCACTCGACCTGTCTTTGGCTGATCTATCCATCCACAGACCTCCCCTGGGTACAGTCTCTTTGAGATCAGTAACTGCATCTGTACCCATCAACTTGAACACACTCATAATCCCAACCCAAATGATTCATATCAACAGAGAATTCCACCTCCCTAAAAAATGTTTAAAAGTCATCTTGTGGGATGAAGGTAGTAGAAAAACATGGCAGCCAGGACACATGGATATAAGGCGATAAATTTATAGCACTGGGCTGGCCAGCACAGACTTAAGACATAACTCAAGACGATAAGATTGGGACTCAAAAACCAGAAAAAGAGAAGAGAAATAATGACCAATAATAACTTGTGGAATGAACACATGTTGAAGCTTTCTCACAGCTTTGGACAGTCCCAATAATTATTTCTTCAGAGAGAAGAATATTGAAAATAGCCTTGTGAGTAGTCATTTTGTCTTGATCTTAAAAATCTCCAATCTATCATGCTCCTAAGACTTGGTCATATCTTCGAGATTAAAAGTCCAAAAACCAATACTCTGCAGAGATATAATTGTATATGTGCTCTTATTTCATCTGGGGCATTACCTGATGTTTTCAACTAAACGTAAAAATAGGTTTATTATCTTTATTTTCATTGGCAACCCCACCACTGAATGCTTTTATTTATTTATTTTTTTTAAATGAAGATCTTCAAAGATCTTAGAGTCTGGTTGAGAGGAAAGGATATCAAAAGAATATCAATAAACATACCAGTGAGTATATCATTTGTGCCAGTGAGTGGTATAGACAAAGCCTCTTCTTAACTGTTTTTTTTTTTTTTTTTTTTTTTTTTTTTTTTTTTTTTTTTTTAATTTTCCAGGAGAATTGACTTTAGAAGAATTTATCAATGGCATAGCAAAAGATCAGGATCTCCTGGAGATTGTTTACAAGAGCTTCGACCTCTCCAATGTGCTAAGAGTAATCTGTAATGGGAAGCAGCCAGACACGGAGATAGACTCCTCCAAAACTCCTGACAAGGCTGGCCTAGGGAAGGTGAAAATGAAGTCGCTGTGAGAATACCTTTCCCAGCTATCAATGAGCACAACATTTCAATAGAGAAGAAATAGAATCTTCCCCATGTACATGCTGTTGATTTCAGGTCTTTGTTATAATTCATATAGGCTTGTGAATATAGCACTTATTTTAATCCAATAGAGACTTCCATAAAGATCCTAAACAGATGCATTGTTGCTTTTCTGTGCTCTCTCTGCGGATTAAAACATAATAATTACACTGAAGGATTGTCTCCGTACCTATCCATTCAAAATAGAACTCTCATTTGTGTTTCCTTGTGCACTTAATCTACACCTTGAAATAGAACTGGATTATCAGTTGGAAAGTGTTTCCACATTTTAGCATTCTCAGATTAAACGTGCATGTGGTAAATGTGTTTGCTGCCTCTTTGCTCTTGTTGCATCTGTATATTATAAATGACTGAGTTCTGGTTTATTTGAGAAACTTTTTTTTCTGCACCTATTTCTCATTGGTGAATGCTGTCTTGCATTAGTAATGATGCTCTGCTTCAAAAGAAAAATCTTAAGCTATGTAGTAAGAGGAGAAAACTTCAGTCGGGGCAGTGAGAATGTTTTCATATGATTCGTTATAAATTTGCATCCAGTTGTGCATGAAAATGCGATGTATCCTCTGTAATTATTATGCCAGTTGGAGGTTTGATCAGAACAGCAGACAGCCAGGCTATGCAACAACAAGCACTTGACATTTTAAACGATCCTGACATTATAGCTCTGACATTTCATTTTTTATATCCTTTCCAGAAAATGAAATGATGAATGGGACTTCTTGATGGGTTAGAACTTTTTAAGGTTTGAGTTCTATATCACAGGCCCATTAGTATGTCTGTCAACGACTGGCTTTCTTGTAGAAACACAGAGGAGGTTTCTAAGACCAGATGTGAACCATCTTTAGGTCAAAAGCTTCATAATTAGGCTTTCATATTCAAATTTGGGTTAAAAACACACAACTGGAAGACTACAAAGAGAGAGTTGGACTGTCCATTTCTCCCTTACAGCTATCTGAGCAGATTAGTGCAGAAATGGAGGCACGGAGGAAATAAATGGCAGTAGAAATGAAGTATAAGTGGAGGTAGGGAAAAAGTTATAGATGAACATATAGATGGAGGTAGAAATGTCCTCAGAATTTTTTCCCAAAAGATTTCAAGGAGATTCACAAAGATGTATACAATGCAAGATAAAATGTTGAAATAAAATTGTCACAGATAATATAAGGAAAATTATTGTAGCTGCGGTGACACAAAGTTTACTTGTTTGCAAAAGGTGCATTACTCTTTGCCTCTTAGAAGTGAAAAGGGAAACATCAAAACATCATTGTAAGAGCCAGAATATCAGCCAGGTAAACAATCCCACAAAGTTGTTGTGTTGCCAGATGACATTATGCCTTAAATTGTCCAGCGTTCCATGTATTGTTAAGATTTGCAAATGCAAGTGTAGCAGAGAAGTTAATATGCAGAGTTCACAAGTGTGTTGAAGAAAGTGAGAAAACAGCAGTGAATACTTCCATCTTTTCTGTCTTTTCTGTATAAGGATATATTTCTGTATAAGGATAATGCTAAAGAGAACTCATTTTCCTTGTAGCTTAATCTTTCTCAGAATATCTGAACCTATTTAGGGAAAAGGCAGCAGTTTCAAGGCAGAAGCTGTTGCTTGCCAAGTTCACCCCGTCTTGGCTTTCGCTTACAGAATTTCCACCTAATGCTTCCCTCCCTGGCCTGGCCTGGCTATTTTTACTACTGGCGGTGCCATTCTCACTCCAGGCAAAGTAAAGTATTGTATTCATGGATCCTTTCAATTCAGTGGCCTCTGTAGCCTCAACATCCTCCCCTCCACCCATCTTTCATGGGCACTCAGGGCCCTTCTGTTCCTCTGCCCCAGGACTCAACCACCTCCGCACACCCCACTCAGAGGAAAGAGATGGAGATGATGGGACAGTGCAAAGGGAAGTTGGGACACCAGCAGGCAGCAAGTTGGAATACAGGAGAAGGGCTTGGGGGTCAGGCAAGCCTGGGTCTGAATCGAGTTCTATTAGCAGATTCTAAAAGCATGTACTGTGTGACTCTGGGGAAATGACATGATTTCTTTGAGTCTCAGCTACCAGAATTAAATGGGGATAACAGCAACATCACTGGACTATCAGGATTAAATAAGCCCCCTCAGCAAAATTCCAGAGTAAGTACTCAGTGCATGTAGAAAAAGAAGCGGGTGGGTTCCCCACTTTCAACACGATTGACCCTTCAGTCAGGCAAGATCTAGTCAAGGAAACACAAGGAAACCACACTTATATTAACAGAGAGAGTTTAATACAAGGAATTGATTTAAAAGGCATTGGAAGACTAGAAATGCAAAGAGAGGACACTGAAATAGCACAGAACTAGTAATGGCAGGAAGCAGCTACCATCCTAGGCTAGGGGAGCAAAGGGAAGAGGTTGGGGTTATTAGAACACAGAAGCTTGAAAGAGGAGAACTGGGACCCAGCTTCCCATGGAAGGAACACAGCGTGCCTCAGAGGAATGTAGGAAAAGTATTGCAATCAATGATCACTGCCAGGACAGGGCTGTTGTTGAGGCGAGGCTGACAGGAACAGGAGGGATCAGCTTATTCTACCTCCTCTTACCTAGCAGTTTCCCTCTAGCACCTGCTATGGGCTGGGCCTACCAGGGAAACAGCTGGGAAAGGAGAATTGTCAGCAGGGCTCCACCCAGCATCACAGAGCCTATTATAGAAGGATGGGCTTGGAGCTGAGAGTGTACGACTTAATGACCAGCACAGATGGGATGGGTAGGATGATATTCTGTGCGCTGTACCCAAAGCTCACTCCAGGTCTTCTGCCTCCCAAACTGACCCCCTGGGTTCATAGCAGAGAAGTGAAAGGGGTACTCACTTCCCTTTCCAAAGAATAGCTCTGTCCTATCTGTGTGTCCTCTCTTGGTGTCCCATAGCACACCCTGGTAGGTTTCTTAGGAAAACTTGTTGAGGCCAGACCACGGTGGCTCACATCTATAATCCCAGCACTTTGGGAGGCTGAGGCAGGAGAATTGCTTGAGCCCATAAGTTCAAGAACAGCCTGGGCAGCATAGCGAAACCCCATCTCTGCAAAAAATACAAAAATTAGCCAGGTGTGGTGGCGTGCACCTGTGGTCCCAGCTACTTGGGAGGCTGAAGTGGGAGGATCTCTTGAGCCTGGGAGATTGAGGCTGCAGTGAGCCGTGATCATGCCACTGCATTCCAGCCTGCATGATAGAGTAAAATCCTGGCCCAAAAAAGCAAAAAACAAAAACAAAAAAACACTGGTTGGTGGATTGGGAGAACGTAAAGGTACTAACTGTTCATCGTAAGAAAACAAATCATAAAACAATATCTATGTTATAGTTTTTTCTGAGGGTGGTCCAAAGAAGGAGATAAGTCAGAAATTCAGAAGCCAAATAATTTTAGGGCTGGGTGCGGTGGCTCAAGCCTGTAATCCCAGCACTTTGGGAGGCCGAGATGGGCGTATCACGAGGCCAGGAGTTCGAGACCAGCCTGGCCAACATAGTGAAACCCCATCTCTACCAAAAAACAAAAATTAGCAGGGTGTGGTGGTGCACACCTGTAATCCCAGCTACTCGGGCGGCTGAGGCAGGAGAATCACTTGAACCCGGGAGGCGGAGGTTGTGGTGAGCCAAGATCGTGCCACTGCACTCCAGCCTGGGCAACAGAGCAAGCCTCTGTGTAAAAAAAAAATTAAAAAAAAAAAAGATTACGTTAGGTTCATGGTTAGGTGAGGTGGGGGGAAAAGAGAGAGAGAGACTGGGGGGGGAAAGCCATGTTTTTTCCCTCATGTCTCCTTAAAGTCATTTCTACCAAAGTGCTGCTCCTTCTCTGTCATTTTCTCTGCAATTTAACAACATGATGCTGAGTCCAAAGGAATAGTCCTAATCCACCAATCAAGTCATGGTATTTTAATAAACCAAATATTTTAAAATAAGTGTCTTCCTCTTTCAGATGATAAGCCTTAAGCAGAGCCTACTGTCCAGTGACTTTTTAAAACACTTTCATTCAGCTTTATTGTTTAATTGGAATTCCGTGAATTTTCCTTCTTATGGCTATACAGTAACATTTCAAGTAAGGGAAACCATGATATGTGGGCCAAGTGTCTGAAGAACCTCAGGAACCTTAATTAATTTCCGAGACTCCCATTGACCAAATAGCACTGACTAAACCAGAATGACATCACTGTTTAAGGAGAACCTAGATTTTCCTATTACTTTACTGTTTTTTTGTTTTTGTTTCTGTTTTTAACTACAATTTTTGATGCTTTGAAGTAAAGAGATATTATTTTATTTTACTTTTTTCATTAAAGAAATATTTTCTGAATACTTTCCAGGTGCATGGCACTGTACGAGGCTGGGGATAAAGCAGTAAGTTAGACATATATTGTCCTTGCCATCATAGTGGATAAGAGACATCAGTGAGTTACATGATTGAATAATTCGTTGTAATTGTAGTTAAATGCTGAAAGCTGACATACAAGGGGCTATGAGGGTATATAACTGGAATCTAACCTGTATTAACAGTCAAGGAGAGCTTCCTGGGGAAAGTAACATGTTGGGTTTTTTTACTATTTTTTTAAGAGACATTATTTTAAAAAGAAAGAAAGATGAAGAGAAAGATACTAAAGCTTGTAATAATTTTTGCCTTATAAAAATGACAGAAAAAATTTTTAAATATTAAGCTAACAGCATGTTACTCAAGTTTCTCTGTACAACTGAAGATGCACCAGGAAGAAGATGCCCCCATTCTGTGGCCCAAAATACGGAGAAATAAAGAGAGAAGGAAACAGATGAGTTGCTGCTGGTCCGGGAGGAGGACAGCACTGATTTGATTTCCCTCGCTTCCCCACACTGCAGCAGCCAATCAGCGACTGCTCCTTCAATGAAGCCTGAGTTCTCCGGGCATGAACAGAGAACATATTAGCTAAAGAAGTGTTTGTTTAAAGCAGAAGAGTGATAGGAAATGGGGTGTAGCAAATGTTTCCTTCATTTTTCTTTCCAAAATGTGTTGGACTAAAAGTTATTGGGGAAATAAATAAGAAAATGTGGTTTGTTTAACACTGAAAGCATGACTGAGAGGCAAATGAAGAGACCTACAGGATGGGTTAGTGCATTAAAGAAACAATGTGAGTGTGGAGAGAGGGAGCAAGCTCTGCTCCCCCTCCCCCATTT